TTTCGAATGACGAAGGCGTTATTAATAAACCGCCACAAAGAGTTACTTAGTGCCGGCAGTTCGGAGAGACGGAGTTTTGCCTCGGCTTTCTTAACTTAAATCCCGCGTCTAAAGTTTGCGTTTAATTACGTCCCAGTCTCGTGCGAGATTTTGATATCGCGTGCCTGAGGACTGCGATTCGGTTTCGGAGCATTCGGCTCATTTGTTTGTTTATAAACAGAGGGCCCCACATACACGGATGGAATTTGTTTGTTTGTGGTTGGACCGAGCGTACCGCTGAGGATGCCACCTTTGGTATTTGTCGTACAGGGAGATGCACAACGTGGTCTTTTGCCGTTGTTTAAAATGCCTAAACATATACATACAACTTCCCCATGGCAGTGGCGGAACTACCATTAAATGGATATTAAAACTTTAAAGGTTCATAGCTCGGTAACCATGGAGAATTGAACCCATGTATATTATAACTTTTTATTCAGAATGACCTCAGGGCCTTTTTCCCAGTTTGACCAGTACGTCATGCAACACCCTGTATACACACATGTTGTCAACCAATTCAGTCATTCGCATTAAACTGCATTTGTTTATTTTTGACAAATATATGGTAAGTGACTACACCATCTGGAACCGGCAGTAGATATTAATGCACCTATAAAATTAACAAATAATAACTGTGCAGTCAAGTAATAATATCTTCATTCGATTCGTCAAAGATTAAGTTATTGGACCAATTCCAACTGATTCTAAATCAGTTTTATGCGCTCCTTGAATAATATCACATCTTCCTCAGACCCATAAAGCATATAAGAATACTCAAACGGAGATTAAAACCGATGAGGACAGTACTGAATGTTGAAATTCATATGTTTCAATACCTCGCCTTTGCACCATATACACCTTAAAATATTCATTCATAATTTAATGACAAATTCAACTACAAGTGATTTCCTGCCCAAAATTACTTCTTTCAAATACCTACAATCGATTCCGGATATCGTAAAATTCAATTTAAAGTAAAATACTTCAACAAATATGTATCCGCCTATTTCTTTTTACGTGCCAACTGACAACTTATGAACATACGCGACTATAACGCCGTTGTAGTTGTACAAAAAAGCGAGTCAACACATTTCAAATTCAATACATAGTTCTTTGCAAACATCTATTCAGCGTGAAAGTTAGATTTCTTAGAGCAATTTGCTTCTAATATGGAAAACGTGATAGAATTGTAATAAAGAATTGAAAAGTACAAAAACATGTTTGTCTCATGAAGTTGTGATTGTTCTCGAAAAGCTTGTGGTAGGTTAAAGTTGACAGTGCTGTCAGCAGTGCCAGCAGTATACGGAGAGCCGTCTTAATTAACAATACATGGAAATTTGCAACACAAATATAGAAATTTGAATATTCAATATTATCAACAATCTAAAATGAAGTAATTGCTTCTACTGGATTAGATTTTTACCATCCTTATGAAATTATTTTGTCATTAATATCGTCTTAAATTGTTATATACAAAACAGAAGTTCATAACTTATATTTCCTGCAAAGTATAAAGTTCAATCAATTTTTTCTTATATTTAATGCATACTCAGACGACTAAGACCTGTAATCCAACAAAATTGATGCGTAGGTGTATACTGACTTTAAGCTTTGATTAAAACCAGATTTCAGTTTAAGCTCATCGTTAAAAGTCCACTGAGAAAAGAACTGAAGCGCTTCCCACAATACAATGCTTACGATCAAGAAAAGTTTATATTTTCATTTTGTATTGCATCCCCTAAGGACGAACGAAGATAATTTAGGAGTTGTTTCTTTTAATTTCAAGAAAACAAAAACAAAAATCCGTACATTTGATTTGCTAGAAAAATACCTAATGACGTCATAAAAATATAGCGATACACATCCTGAGGTCATATTGGAAATAGAAAACTAATGTATTATATTATATACAGGATTAATGGTTATAAATGTCATCCATTCGTTTAACTTTGTTATTTTAAAGATTAGAAAACAATACTATATACAGGGTGGAGTCTTTAATGCACAAAAAATAAATATGGATTCCTAGGAATATACATAGCCTCATATCAAATAGTTGTATATTCAGGTTTTGTCAAGAAAATGGAACGTCAATTTGGCAGCGAAAAAATAAATCTTAGTACGACCCTGGCAAAAAATGTTGACATTTGACAGCTCAACCCGCGGACGCTTGCCGAACCAAACTAACCGAAAATCTGCGCAGATGAGTATTATTGCCAATATATTGCAAGAGATGGACAAAAAGGAAATATGTAACAGGTTTTTGAAGCAATACTTAATAAATAATATTGGACAATTTAATACAAACCTCTTGTTTTAATTAAAACAAAAAATAAACATAAAACTTATAGTTGATAGGTTATATCTCGACAAATAAGAGAGATGCAAACTTACAGCTTTTATAGAAGATGTTGAATTTTGGCGGACGTTCTTCCAAACACAGATCACTGCTTCCAAATCACAGATGTTGTGGCCATCGTACCTACCCGATATAATCAACTTACCTTGAGAGCATTTTCACTTTCCCTTATTAAAGTCGTAGCTTGGAGACCAACCAGTTTCTTTTATTTTCCCCAAAACTACTTTCAATAATCTACATAAATCTAAAGCTTCCACTGTGAGGAAAATCAAACCTGGAATTCTTAGAATAGTCATAAAAGATAGATATGTATTTCCAGGGTCAATAAAAACATAATGATTCATTCATTTTCACCGTTTTATTGTCATTAATATCCTATTTTTATTCCCATTAATACAGTTCTTAGTGCTCGGAAGACTAATAACCTTTTGGGTACGTCGCCTTTCTTTATATTTTCTTTCATTCCTAAGATTCATAGTTTAGCCGTAGTTTACGAGGACATAGCGGGAATCGAAAGGAAGCAGTCCGGTGCCGAGGCGTTGTCAGGGTAACTGACTAGCTGAACTTTTGAACAAGAGGGATTGTTATCCTGCAGTTTATTGCCAGGGGAAGAAATAAGTCGTCGAAATAGAGTATATATCTCTATATTTCAAGCTCTGTCGTAGCGAAAAGTTTTTCTGTCATAAACTGCAGTAGCGGAGATATGAGGTACAATTAACAAAGCTTTTACGAATTATTTGAGTATCTAGAGTTTAGAAAATGTGACACGAATAGGTAGATTAAGATTTAAGATAATTTTGAGATATTTAAATGCGTTCTCTTTAAATGAATTTAAAAAATAGCATGCATTATTAGTGGAAAATGTGCAATTGTTTTAAAAAATATGTATATATAAGGTGATTATAAGATATGTAACCAAACTAAAACAGGAAAGAAAACTGTCATTTTAACCAAAATGAAAATGTTATTTTCATTTCTGTAGTGAAGAAAGTAGTATTACTCTGAAATTCATGAATTCCTTTCGTAAATTGAAAGAAAACTGTCCCATGTCCCGAGAAGGTATTATCAAGGGCACAAGTACATATACATTAGAGGAGAAGAGAAGAGAAGAGAAGAGAAGAGAAGAGAAGAGAAGAGAAGAGAAGAGAAGAGAAGAGAAGAACTCTACAACTTCACCTATTCTTTCAAAAAATATTTCAGTGTCACTTGAAGGGGAACAAATTAGAACAACAAGGTTTGTGTTGCTATATTCCTACCGAATAGCAGAAATCAATATTAATAGTGTATATTACATTTTCAAAATTAGATAAGTCGGTCAGTAAATATAAATAATTAATTTTATCATTATTAAATGTATTAATATGAAGCAGCAACATATATAGGTTTAAAAATTAATTTTACTAATACCTAGAGTTCTATATATATATTTTATGTTGCTAATATTTAAATTTGGATTAATAGTTTATCTTCACATCAATTTCATAACGAAACGAAATCATTAAGAATATAAAAAAAATCGTTTCCAAAGTAAATCGGACCTATAGTAGGATCGTATTCGATGCAAAGTAGAGCAAAAAGTTGTCGGTCGTTTATCAAAGGAAAATCATGTTATCATTTTTAGGAGGCGTAAGATGAACCATTTCAAATTTAAAATGAAATTGAATGTAAAATCTGAAATACAGCTGCATACGCACTGTGTTCTGGTAGTAGCTGTAGCCGCCCAGGTGCATCGAGTGTACGAAGTACGAAGTGGTCGGTTATACGTCAAATACTAACCTGCCGAACAAGTAAACAACAGTGGCGCGTATAGAGGTAAAGTACATATATGGAATTTAAAAAACATTGGATTTATAATAAATTACAATTAAAATAAATAGTTTATGAGAATAAAGGAATTTTTGTAGGAACAAGGGTGCCAGATGTGAACTGATCCCCTCGTTATTTCATAATGTATAAACAAATTATTCAATTTCTAAAACCCTTAAAAGCGTACTGCATTGGATCCCTTGATAGGTAATGATTTATTACTTTGCATCGAATATGATCCTACTATAATTTGTTCATACAGTGCCTTTTCATAAATGTCCGAGACATTAAGGAACGCAGTTGACCTTTGGGTGAGCAAATTTTATAAAATTTGTAATGAAATGTATTAAACTTACCAAATTTCATAACTGCATTAACATTACGACATGGGACTTTGGTATTACATTTTATGAAGCCGTGTCCAGAAATTTGCTTGGTTTTAGGAAATACTATGTTCCCTACTAATGTCTGGGGCATTTATCAGGGCACGTTAATATTTATTACATATAATGTCAATGAGTGCGAGAGAGACGGATTTTGCATCTTAAAAATTGGCTTCCATGAACAAAAAAAATGAATCCGTTTCAATGCGTATGCTTACGCGATGTAACTCTTTTGATTTATATCGAACCTGATCTTACTTATTACTTGCCTAATCGAAAGTTGGTGGAAATGGGCATTTAGTTCTTTCCATTAGACATATTTTGAATTTGTTGGAGGCGGAGGAAGAATATAGGTGTTGTACGGTGATGCAGAAGAAGAAGAAGGAACTCGATTTGACTTTGACAGCAAATAGCAAATATTTTGTAGATTTAATTTTGTCCCGTCTTAATATTTTAACTTTACATGATTTTCTCTATGAATGATGTTCATTTTATGTGTTGTGCCTACTGACTAAATATGATTAGATTATATTAATCTAAGTTTCTTCATATAAACTAGGTGTTACTCACCATGGAAGAGAAAAAAGTACATATATGTAGGTTATGTTTGAATGTAGTATCAGATAACAATTATGAGGCTTTAAAAGAAACTCACACTATACAAATTCAGTACATCTTACCCGATTTGGTAAGCATTTATTGTGGTATCAGATATTAATGTATATTCGATGTATGTATGCTATTCACACTTTCTGTATTTTCCGTTTTAGAATTTGTTAGTAAGTAATAACCCAGTCCTCTGCGCTCCATGTACAGATGCACTACAGGAGTCATACGAATTCAAAACCGCTTGTGTTGAAGTGGAGACATATTTAGAGAATTTTATTATGCCTTTAAGAAAAGTAGATTTGAAGGAAGTCGTTGCCAGTAAAATGTTTTCAGGGGAAGTGAAAAAAGAAATCACAGATTTTAACGAAGGGAAGTTGATATGTAGGCTTTGCTTAGGATTCATAGAAGATAAGTTATTTAAGGAATTCGGTGTGATAGAAGAGAATATACTCCAAAAGTGTGTTCCCGAAGTGGTACATTCCTAATTGTAATTAAAATATCGAGGGGGAAATCACTAGCCAAAATTTTTACACCAAAATAGTTTAATGTATTGTTCAAATTACTCCTGTAGTTTCCCCCTCGTAAAATATTTTCTGGTTTTTATTACGTTACTTGTAGGATTTGACCGTTACTGAAAACCCAGTCTCTTGTGAAAACTGCATGGGGTATCTCCATAGTCAATTCAATTTTATGATGAGATGCCTAGACGCAGACGAAACGATAAATGGTTATATAACGTCACAGGGCTTAACTGTCAGCGATAAATTGAATCTCCATGAAGTAGTCCAATTTTCAGTACAAAATAATCAAATGAATGAAAGTACTGATTGTGAAAGTGATTTGATAGAGTTAGAAAATAAGAATTTTGTTCCCTTAAACGATAGTTTTGGTATGGACGTTGATGATGTCGCCCATATGGCACTGGACCCATTGCTTGATGGTATAAGAGAGTTAAGTGATGTTGGGCTTGATATTAGTTGCAATAAACCATCGTAAGTAGTTTTTTCCGGCAATTCCGGCAAAAAAAATGCCTAAACAAAAAATGAAAAAAAGGTAAAACCCACTTTTAACCGAATAACGGAAATTTCCAAAATTTTTGTGTTATTTCCTCAAATTCAGCATAGGGTTATTTATTCTTTTCGGTGTAGCTTAAATACCTTATTAAATAATAAAATTAATTGTATTGCAATGATATTGTTTTTCTTTCGCACTTGAGGCAACCATTTCAAACTTTAATGAGGGCGTTAGTCTGTTTCTATCCCAAATTTCGCAAAGAAATAAATCAGTTATTCTAAACCTTTTACAGCGTGGATGCAAGGGGTCGTCCCATCGTTTGGCACAAATGTGAGGTTTGCCCTTACTCGACATTTCGAAAATATTCACTCCGTATCCACATGCTCATCCACAAAAAGCCGGAGGAATACACAATGTACAAATGCACAATTTGCCCCCACGAGACCAACAGGAAGAGTAACCTCCTCATACACCTACTCAAACATAAGGGTCCCGGAGAGGTAACCATGCACCAATGCAAGGAATGCACCTACGAAACCAGATTGAGGTCAGTAGAGGATATTTCTTGATCGACTTACTCGGGAACCATATTTTTAGAAGTAATCTCCTCAAACACCTCCTAGTCCACAAAACGCCGGACGAAGTGAAGATGCACCAGTGCCCGAACTGTCCGTACAAGAGCAAGCTGAAGGGCAACCTCCTCATCCACATGATCCAGCACAAGAAACCCGAAGAATTGGTGATGCACAAGTGCGGCGAGTGTTCGTACCAGACCAAGTTGAAGAACAACCTCCGGAAGCACATTCTCACCCACCGTGGTCCCATCGAGAATGCCCCCGTGTATAAGTGTAAGGAGTGTAACTATCAGTCGAGGTGGAAGTCGCACTTGCTGAGGCATATGGTGCTGCATAATTCGGTGGAGGTACCTGATAAATATCTTTAGTATTCGGGAAGAGTAGGAGCAATCACATGTTTTTCTTTGTTTCTCGAAATTTCCATGGGTTTCTAAGAACATGATAAAAAGAAGCATCATGGAACAAATGAGTAAACAAATGAATAAGCAAAGCACACTAGACCGAATCTCGTTACAGTATTTTTTAGCTCGTTTAATCAACACCTTTGAATAATTCATCGCTAGTTTTACTTGCTTATTTCAGGTGACCTTGCATAAGTGTGAGCACTGCCCTTACGTAGCCAACCACAAGGACAACCTCAGGAAGCACCTGCTCACTCATAAGGATCCCAGTGAGGTTAAGATGCACAAATGCGATTTGTGCGACTTTCAGAGCAAGCGAAAGGACAAAATCAAGCAGCACATGTACAACATGCACAAGTGCACGGCTTGCGATTTCGAGACCAAAGAGAAAGAGGAGCTGACCAGCCATTTGAAGACTCATGTGCTGCCCGAGCAGAGTTTCAAGTAAGTAGATTGAATTGATTAAAAATATATGCTTACCAGATGGCCTTCCTTTAAGTGACAGTAATCTCACAATAGACTTTACGGTGACGCTAAACCTACTTGAAAACCATTATTTTTTTCACTATTTATTGCCTGGAATATTTATTACCGTTATAGGGTTGTAATGGGTACCGGTTTAATCCCTTTTTTCTAGGTGTGACGTTTGCAATTACGAGGCGAGACAGAAACGCTACCTCCAGAGACATAAGAAGATCCACCTCGTGGAAAACCCCGACCAGATAGTCTGGCATAAATGTGAGCTGTGTCCGTACCAAGCCAAGCGGAAAGATGTCCTCAACAACCACCTTTTAATCCACAAGGATCCTAGTCAGGTGGAAATGCATCACTGTCCGACTTGCACCTACCAGACGAAGAGGAAGCACAACCTCGTTATACACCAGAAGAGCCACTGTAAGGGGGACCTGGGGAAGAAACGGTGCAAAGAGGAGCCGGTGAATTGAGATACTTGCCAATTTATTTATGTTTTTAATTAATTTATGACTTTTATAATGCAGGTATTTTTTAAAAATAATAAAATAAAGCAGTTAACACAAATTATTAGTTTTTTTATTAACGGCAAATTATCAAGTTATTCAGTATTAATTCTTGAATAGCACATAAGTACATATAATTATTGATAAATCCATGATGAGGGAGAATATTAGTAAATTCAGAGATAGAGAAAGAATAAGTCTCTATTTGTACCAGACAATTGACAGATGGCGCTGACCATAGAAGAAGAAAGTAATTAGATAAATCTAACAAAACATTTAAATTTTTGCAGAAGAGCGATCGGGGATGCTGCTTCGGGAACTACACACAATATTTCCCTTAAAAATGACTATTCTTAGACAAAAACGACTTAAAGAAAACAACGCTTCTTGCAGCATCTATAAGTTAACCGCCCATCTCTTCTCTAATGAACTATATACACACATAGAAAATATAGCACAATATTTTCTATGATACACACTGCAACGAATGCATATTATTATGTTCATAAGTCCAAAGATATGCAACCCTCCGATAAGTGGTTTCCGTCTCCCTCGCACTTATTGAAAGTTAGGAACAACTTACTTTTAACACGATTTTTTTTATATTCCTAATGACTTATTTTCGTTATGAAATTGATACCATTAAACCATTAACACAAATTTATTTATTAGTTACAAAATATAGAACTCTATGTATTAGTAAAATTAATTCTCATAAAGATAATTAAGGAAACAAATCCAGTGTGATTCTAGTTCATTGCTACTCAACAACTCAACCACTTGTGTCATCTTCTTCTTCTTGTTTTTACGGGCAACTGCCATTGCCATGTTTGCTATTTCATTTGGTCAGTTTGTTAAGTTTGTTTATATTGCTTTTTATCCGTATACCGTATAGTTTATAATGTTTATATTGTGATTGTGTTATTCACGAAAAATATGGTGATTTTTATGCCTCTCATTTTGATATTGTGCTTAAACGTTGTAGATGCAGGTCGTAGAACAAAATGACAAGACTCCACCTCTAGGAAGTTTACTGATTTTCATCGTTTTGATGTAGCAAGTTTATTTATTACAATATATTATATAGGTACAGAATCTTTATTTAGTTAATTTACTTCAGCTGTAATAATGTTAGTTACTTTGTATTCATTGAATAGACTTTTTTTCGATTTAAACTTCAACAGGGTAATTATTTACTATAGTGGCACCCTCTCCAATTTTCAAGAAATTTTGTCTACCCCCTGATTTTCGATGGTGCTGAACACGAATCTGAAGTTTTTTTTGTGCGGCCGAATCTAGTTTGCGAGAAAAAAAAAATTCAAAATTCTAACCTGGATATTTCAGACAACGCTACGTAGAACTCTGTATATTTTATGTAGCTTTCAGAACATCTGTAATAAACAATCAACATTGTTTAAGAAACACATTTTCCCAAATTTGAACTAAAAAAAATATGTATTTAGTAAATAAAATTATAGTAACTTTATATGGAATGAACAGAGATGAATGAGAGTGGGGCAGTGGGGGAACTCTGTTGGTCTGTTGTCATCAGAAATTACAAATGGTGGATTCAAACTAGTCAAACTACAAAATTATTTTACTTGAAATTTGCGAAAATGTGTTTGAAAGCTACATAAAATATAGAGTTCTACGTAGTGTTATTAGGTTCGACTGCACAAAAATAACTTCAGATTCGTGTTCAGCAGTATCGAAAATAGGGGGGGAGGGGGTGTAGACAAAATTTTGTGAAGATTTGGGAGGGTGCCACTATACTAAATAATTACCCAATGTTTAAATATTTAGTAAAGGACCCTTATTTTGTGTTACTTTTCAGACATAAAATGAGAATTCGAAAGAGAGATGTCCGAAAACGTACGAAAAAAGCTCGAGGTGTAAAGCTTGCTTGGAAAAGGAGACGGGCAGTTGCTGAATTACTTAATGAAATAGTAGATACCGTCGCTGATGAAGCTGATGGAAGGATCACAGTTCGTGCACCGCCTGTCGCTGCATTATATATTACTTCTTCCCAATCTTCACAGGCTAGCACATCGTCAGAAATTTTTTGCCCAAGAACGCCGCCAAATATAAAATCAGAAGACGATAACGATATTTACAATTTCTTAGATACAAATTTATTGGAAGATATTAAGGGGTGAGTTTGCCTAGTGATTTATGTCAAATGATGTGTGTACATTTTTTCTTTACAAGTGAAATTGAATTTTGATATGAAGATGGAATACACTACTAGCTTTACTCTTGTCTTTATCTAAGAAAGACGTTTATTTTACTATAACCAGTAAAATTTCTAATGTAATATCTACTTACCTGTAATTGTTGATTTTCTGCTGGGATTTTCAAAAATTTCAACGGATATAAATTTTCAGCATTGATCCATTGGCAATTAACGACAAAAAATTACTGGGATGTCGAATAGTAAATATCGATTACTTTTTAAAGAAATCTATGTCATTGCAAATGCTACACAACCAAAACTGCAGTGGTGGCTCCTTGGAGATAGCAGGGGAGAAAAGGCAGGGTTTAAAAAGCACGTTTATATTAAAGTGTAACGTTTGCGACGAAGAAGTCGAAATTTGTAACGAAGAACCGACACTTGATAACGAATCTACATTAAACAAAGCAGCTGCATGGGCAACTGCTTGTACAGGCAGCACGTATAAGCATATGACCGAGTTCTTTAATGTACTTGACATACCGTGTCTTTCAAGAAATTCGTTCGTTGCCATCCAAAAAGAATTGGAACAGGTATAATACATTATAAAGTTTGTCTTGAATTGTAACGGTTGTTTCTTAGGCTTGGCAAAACTGTTTGTGGAGAAATTTGGAGGAAGCTGGCGAAGAAGAGTATTCAGCAGCCATTGAAAGAGGACACGTAGATAGTGATGGTGTCCCATATATTACGGTTTATGTCGACGGAGGATGGTCTAAACGTAGTTACGGACACACATGCAACGCATTTTCCGCAGTTGTAAGTTCTGTTTTTTAAGTTGTAACGGTGACTTGCGGGAAATATACAAATTTTACTCGTAATTTTGTTTTAGGCCGTCATTATTGGCAAACATACTGGCAAACTTTTGTTGGTTGGGGTACGCGACAAATATTGTAGTATTTGCGCACGAGCTGAATATAAAAACTATGAACCCAAATATCATATATGTTTTAAAAATTGGGCCAGCTCATTGTTTTCTGCGGAGCAGGATGTTCTTGTGGAAGGATTCAATTGCAGTTTAAAAATGCATAATTTAAGATACAAAAAATTTGTGGCTGATGGCGATTCGTCAATGTACACAACGATCAAGGAGAACGTGTCCTATGGACAACAAGTAAGTGCTAGTTTACCTTAAAAATTATTAAGCTACATTTATCAAAGTTAAAATCTCATTAGGTAGTGTAAAATATGGTTAAAAAAAACGTCTATGTATAATAAAGACCCACTTTGTAGGAAAAATAATAAATAACCTAAATAAACATTGTAAAAATCATTCAAAATATTACTGAAAAAAAAAAAATATGTACCTAACGACCTAACATATTAAAAACGTTTATATTATTTAACAATTTCAGTATTTCAGGTATCAGTTTATTAATTAATATTTGGATTGATCATTTTTCCTATTTCTATTTTTATATATTTATGAGGGTTGTTTTTTATATTTCGGGAATGGACGATCCTGGTGTTGCCATTGACAATTGACTTCCCCATCGTAAAGTTCGACTTTTTATCGGTATACTTACTCAGAACGTTTTGACGTACAGGCGCTATTTGTGTTGTTTACAGTGACTAGAAAAATTAATTTCGGCCAAAAAATGGAATTAAATCCTGAACATTTCCATGCGAATATTTTTTACAACATTCGACGTGGATTATCTCAACAACAGTACAGCGTTGAACTTAATTCGTCTTTTCTCGATGAAGCACCATAAAAAACACTATATCGGTGATATATGGAATTGAATCGGGGTCATGGTTCGCTCACTAACGAATTTTGTGAAAATCGTCCAAAATCGGTTATTGTTCCAGAAAACATTGATGCTGTGCTTGAACTGATATTGCAAGACCGTCTTGTGACTTATCGTGAGATTTAGGCACCTTTGCACATTAGTGGAACCATACATTCAATATTGCATAAACATTTGGCCATCAAAAACATTTATTCGCGTTGGATCCCACATTATTTGACGAACGCTGAAAAAAGGTTGTGTCGATTGGTCGAAAGAAATGCTGAAGAAGTATGATCGTGGTGCTTCCAAACACGTCTATAACATTGTAACAGGTGAGAAATTATGAGCCAAATCCAACAAAAATTGTCGCATCTGAAGCACTTGTAAGCAAATGCTAGTCTGCTTTTTCGAAAAAACCAAACGTGTAACTGTACTATTGGTGCGATATAGGATGGTTCATTCTAAATGGTACACAACCAATTTTTTTGTCAGAAATCTTCGGAAAAATAAGGGAGACCAACCAAAGATGTGTCATTCTCCACAAGGACAATGCGAGCTGTCATATTGGCTCGAACAAGGCTTCTTGAGAACTGAAAAAGTCGAATTGATGAGTCATCCGCTGTACAGCCCTGATATAGCACCCAATGACTTTTTTATTGAAGCACATAAAAAATAAATTACAAAGCAATAAAGTCATATATGATGATTCATTTCTATTTTTATTCTCTTATTCCCCAAAGTATAAAAGGTGACCCTCGTATTTGTTCCTATTGCCTCTATTTTATTTATTTGTATCCTGTAACTATCTTCTGGTAGCAAAATTTTTTTTAATCTTATTATATTTGTGAATTAGCATGTTATTGGAAATTTGGATTTAATGGGAAACTTGAAAATGGTAAATTATCAAAAAGTATAAGTTATTGGCAACAGTAATTTAACAATGTTACCTTACCATTATTTACATTTTTAATTTGTGAATCTAAAATTTTCTCTGAAAAAATAATTTCAGGTAGAAAAAATCGGAAGTATGAATTACGCTCTCTTAAATTATGAAAACAGTTTGTACAAAATTCAGAAAGATACAGAAGGGGTGCCAGATGCGGCCCGAAAATTATTAACCACAGAAATTATAGATGAACTAACCAAGTCGGTCCAAATAGCAATTTATGCCAACTATCAAGACGTGGAGAACTTAAAATTAGGAATTCGGAACACTCTGTATCATGTCTTTGGAAATCATATGTCCTGCCCTTCATACTTGTGTAATAACATTGGTAATACAGCTGAAGACAAAACGCAGGAATTAACAGAGTCAGGACTCCACCACCATGTTTATGGTGCGATGACTCGGTTATTAACAAACACGGATTTGTTAATGGATAAAGAAACCAGTAACCAAGCGGAAATCTTCATGAGTATACTGGTTATGTTCGATGTCTGTAAACGCCCCAATTTAATTCAAAGTGATTCCTTCCAAATGAGAGCTTACTTGACGGGATTACGTTATAGTGGAGGTCTTGATTGGCACACTTAACCGTGGTAGTAAAGAGGCCCGGGATTTCCAAGTAAAATATATGGATACGTGAAACAGAAACATGCAAAAGCAGAAAGAAGATCCGTAATTGTTCTATTCAAAGTATATTGAGTAATGCAGAAGTTTTTTCATGCTTGAAGATAAGTGGTGAAGACCATTTGCATTGTTCAGCTTTTAGTTTTGGAAACATGTGTTTGATATTTTCGAGGGTGCCAGTTTTTTTTTTAATAACACTCAAGTAGTGTTTTAGAAGCAGTACCTGTTTATCAAAGAACTAATAAAATTAAACAAAAAATTCCAAAACGCAATATTATACCGAAAAAATGAAGATAGCTAACATTCAGAAGAAATGGGATAAATACTATTAAAATACGAAGAAATTGATTTAGACCGACATTTATTTAGAACACTTTTTTGTATTGAGACACACTGTATATAAAACTAAACTGGTTTTTTGTTGTTTTTATTCCATATTATTTCTTAAGCCTTCATTATTGTTATTTTGGAATATCTTTCTTCCAACTTAATACGTCATATTACATAAATGAAACTGCTTACATTTTTTTTAATTGATTGTGTTTATTAAATACGTTTAAAATGTGTTTTTTTACTTATACCACAAACTACTTTCAGCATTACAGAAACTTGATTTTGTTTGGTTTAGATGGATGCAAAGCAGTGGGAGAGTGGCTTCAATAACCCGTAATTTAAAATGATGACATTGACACAGTGTTTCAGCGATCAAAGAAAACAAAAAGGATGACGAAAGGATGGATTTGGAGTCAAATCCTTTTCTTAAATTTTAAGTTTTTCTTCAATTTCCTGGTTACATTCGATGCTTTTCCCAAATTGCCTTGTTGGCCTTGCTCTGAGATGTTTGGTGCAAGTTTTTGGGATAGTGCTGTATTAGAAAAATATGTTTCTTTCAACATGAGATTGGTTGATGTCTGTCTTGGTAATTTGTGGTTTTGCAGTGGCTTTTACAAATATCTTTGCTACATTTGTCACATATGTTTTTTATCATATTACAGGGTGTTCTCAAAGTTGAGTCATTTCATTCAAAATCGTTTATAAAAGTTGCCAAATAAAGCAATTATTAACAATTATTTAAAAAAATTTTAATTTAAAAACTTTCTTATACAAACTTGATTTATTGTCATTTCCGACCACTGCTTTGTAAAAACATAAACTGCTTGTTTACTACTGATACTGGGTATGTCTTTTTTTGTAGTTGCATGGTTTTGAGTACGCTTTTCGATTTGACAGTGCTAAATAATTCGTACAGTAGTGCGTGATATTATTTTTGATTTGTGTTTCGTGCAATAAAAATGGCACGTTTATGAAAACAATGAACTAGTGGACATAATATTAACTTACGGGGAGTGTCAACAAAATGCAGCCGTAGCATGCCACTTGTACGCAGAAAGGTTTCCTTTACGAAATCATTCGGCTCTACGGATGTTTGTAAATTTAGTTATAAGACTAAGACACAGGGTATTTAAAGGTGAAATGGTGGAGATTGAGGAAGAAATTTTAGAAATTGTCGAAAACGACCCGAGCACTAGGATCCATGTTAATCAACAAACAATTTATGTTTTTACAACGCAGTGGTGGAACATGACAATAAATCAAGACAACTTTTACTCTTTTAGGAAGCCGTTATTGAACCAATTGTTGAACTTGAGGTTTGGGGACATTACTCCCTTGTTAAAAAAGTTGTTTCAGCTCTTGTACGAATTCTATTCCCAAACTTATGAAACTGTGATGAACTAATTCTGTATCTGGATTGGCAAATTGTATAACGCATTTACTCCAGCAACATCCGTCATTCAACACCAAATATTTCTGAGCTATTTACTGGTTCAACCAAATACTGGAGAGCACAATTTACGTTTTTTGTTGGAAAGAAATTCTGTGGGAATTTTTCATTTATTCTGCCTCACGGTGTCTAAAATATGTTAGTTTCTGATGCTGTGGTTCTTTGACTCATTTATCATCATCATATACTTAAATGTCTCAAAATTATTCAATAAAAACTTATTTTTGAGTATTTTTATTGAAAAATCTGAGGAAAATAGAGTGTACAAAATAAAAACAATAATTAACTAAAAACTTCATCAATTCATAACAAAATATTATTTACTTTGATGTATTAATGATTTTGTGCTATCCGCTGTGGTATTTTTCCAACAAACGAGCTACGAGCTGTCTCTGATAATAGTTGTAATTGATTTGTCTGTTTCTATATTTTTTCTCTTGAATAGTTGATAGATTTAGTGCGTTTTCAACCAAACCCCTCACTGGTTTGCTTTCCTATTATGCATACCACCTTTCTTTTTCTGTATGATGTGGAGGGGGAGTGATATTACATAGTTTTTTCTTTCCGCTTACATTACTTCTAGGTATCAATTTTTTTATTTTTTAATACCCAAAAAAACTCATACACATTGAGTACACAATGACTTATTTAAGTAATTATTTATAATGTTTCTTTTACTAAATATTGGTTGCACTTACCTTCTTCAACTGTTCTGGAGGTATCTTAGGATCCATTTCGATTAGATTGTAAAGTTTTGGATGTCATAACATGGATTGTCATAACGTCCACCATAAAATCAAGTTGTTTTTCACTTTTCTCTTACGTCATCTTTTCACAATCATTTATGTACGCAGATACATTTGTTTAGAAATGTAATAGAGCAAACATTCTAGATTTGATCTTATATTTTTCTGATTAATACATTCAACTACTGCGACGTCAAATACAAGAATTTGTAGCTATTATAAGTAAGATTTAAGTCGGACTATTTCCTAAAGTGGCCGAATTGATCCGACTATAATTGGGAGAATATTGTTAGTCCATTTTATAATTTTTTCATAGAATACTCCTGCAGATCCCGTTTCAACTGTGTAGCAATATGGGAATTTTAGAGCATAATCATAATCATATAAAGAAATAATAAAATATTTTATGTTAAAAAACTTTATTTATTAACATTTCCTTAAGTATAAAAAAAACGCATAATCACACAATGAACTGCTTGAAACGTATTTGCAAAAAACAACAGTACAACAATTTATTCTTTTGAAAAACTTCTTCACTCATGCAGCTGCTCTTTGAATATAATTGTGTATTTGAATTTACAAGTGCTCTGCCATGCTTTCTTGTCGAAGTCAAATTCCTAGATTTGTATTTCTGGAACAACCAGTTAAATTAAAGGTAAAATATAAAAGCAAATTTCACATCAAGATAAGTTAAAATAAATGTAATTATAATCATCCAAACGTAACTGATTAATATTTTAAAAGATTTTAATATGGAAAGACATGTTATGATACAACAGTGACCCCTTTTACGAGAGGTTCAATATGTACACAACGAAATAAGACCATACTCATTTACATAGAAAATGTCGTTGCTATCCGAAACATGGCAAAACTTTCGGCAGTATTAAGTTCCTTTACGGCTGGTTCTTATCAAGGATATGTTGATCACCTACTGTATCAAACATCATCAAAGAAATCAGCTTGGCCATCGGGGAACTGTCAAAACATTGGGTTAAATTTATACAAAATACGACCGATTATAAATTTAACGAAAAAATGATTGATGTGAGATAAGTTTTTATTAAAAAATATAGGCAGTTACTTTATACATTGAAAATTTTTAGGTCTACTATCCTAGTAGGGAGATTAGATGAATCGATGCTATCGTGAAGGGGCCGTTTAAATTTCGGCAGTATTTCCTGTCAAATCCCACAAATACGGATTTGTTTTGTTTCGACAGAACCAAGTACTTTGTTTTTATAATAACTATTAGAAATTGGTTTTGTTTTGTTTTTATGAAGTTTTATTGTTACATAATGTACCATATTTTTATTTTTTATCGTCTGTCTTGTTAATACTTCTTTTTAAGAAAGCTTTCGAATGCACATCCTGGGACGACATTCGTTGATGATGAAACACTTGCAGATTCAGAGTCCGCAGATTGTGTAATAAGCACAGAGATACTAGACAGAAATGTACAACCTCTCTTGTATCAACACGGATAATTCCAGTTGCACAAAGCTTGCATTTTTGAGGTTGATGAGATACAACATGTTGATAGTCGTTAGTCAGCTCTATGGAAGCCGGATCACTGTTAGAATTTGAGATGAATGATAGACCTCATGCAGTCTTAGTTCTATTGGTTCATTTGCAAGAGCAAATATCATTGTTTACGACGAGCTGAATGATGATGCTGAAGAAATTGAACTCCGCTTAGGTGTACCTTCCAAACTGGAAGTGTGGTTTGTGTTGAATTAATGCTACCAGAAGCTCGTAAACATAAATATGTAAAAATTCCCTGACATTATATTTCCCTTAGGATGGGAAAGTTGTTGAATAACATTCCTGTTGCATTGCAGAAGTGGATTCTTCCGCCGGACAAATGAAGAAACCCTATATACGCATTTTGCTTAGTCACATTCTCAGTCTTTTGAAGACTCTGTGATGGAGCCTTTCTTCTTTGTTATAAGGATGCAGGGGTAAAACTTTTTAGAGAATGTTGAATATAATTTGTTTAAATGAAGCTATATTATTATAATTCGACATCCTAGAAGATAAGAACTTTATTTGCTTTAATGTCATTACATGATAGAGGACTTCATCCATATTGATATGATGGTTAGAACATCTGTTGGCTGTGGCAGCTATAAAACACATCGAAGCCATTGTAATCCGGAATAAAGAGGTATCTTTGTAAATTTAGATATTTTAAAAAGAATCGAATTTAACTACACAACTCATATAAGTGTAGAAGATTACTAAAGACATCCTGAAGATGATTTCCATGTACCACTGGGACACTCTTGAATGGTAAGAAATTTTTTCAAACAAGTTATGTTGATAAAATTATGACCATAAAAGAGGGTAGTCCATTGGTTTGTATCCAGGAAAAGCCAGATGTAATTATGGAACAAATCAAATGTCATATCAAAAATTTTCCTCTTCGAATGTATCATTATTCAAAGAATGAGTCACACCATAAATACTTACCACCAAATGTATCTATCTATGAAAAATATGAATAAGAATGCATATGCTGCTTTAACGTCTAGTGAGAAAAACAAAACCAATTTTATCAAACATGCTACCAAATGATTTGTTCCAAACTTTCTTACAACACATTTACGTTGCAAGGCCATAAGGACTGTTTGAAACAAAGAACCATGTTTTCTTCTTAGAGAAGTTCCACTTAATTAACAGTGATTGCTGAATTATTGCCAACAAAGAAGCTGACATGGTGGTTTAAATAGAAAAAGTGAACTTTTCTATTCTTTATTTATTTATAATATCAAATGTAGACATTTGAGTTACTTTCAGATAAAATACACCAAAAGGGACTAGTTAATTCCCTGGCCCCATCGCTGTACCTTCCAGAGCTACCACTTTAAAAAATTTTAAACGCAAGAGGTCAAGTGCCACATATTTTAAACTTTTCGATTGTCTACTAAGAGGTAGTGGCAACCTTGCACTGCGCACAAGGCGCTGACCGACTGCCTTGCAAAGCTAAGTTTGCTTCGCTTTTCTTCTCTCCACCGGGCCCCGTCTGATATACACGTACATGTAGATTCCGACAATAAATCTCTTGATGGATTGAATTAAAGCTTTATTAATCCTCTGGATACCATATCTACGTTTTTGTTTACTTTTAGCTAACCTATCTTTTACTCTAAGGATGAAAAGAGCAATCAAAAAGTAGCCTAAATATCAAATGTTTTGTTCATAATGGCTAATCAAGAATGTTGAAGAAAAAGTGCAAACCCTAGCAATGGTGGTGCGAGACAACAAAATATGAAGAGGGAGATAAAGGACTGTAAGCAAAATCTCTCAGACCCGTGACAAGTAGATTGATGTCTGTGGAAATGCAGACACTACTTGGCACCATAAAGAGAACGCATGAAGAAAGTTACAAATGGGATAAAAAAAGATAAAGAATATATGCAGAGGTTTGTCACTATTTCATTACATAAAATTTTGGCTATAGCAAGCCAGTGGTGTGTAACTATCAGTATGAGGAATAATATATAAAAAAAAAAAGGTATTACTCGGCCAATGCCTAAAATAAAACATGGATTTTCTACACACATATATAAACAAATGGTACACTGTTTGGTATATTTATAGAAGGTTAAGACTTTGCTATAGAAACAAGTCAGCAAATTTGACGATGTACTGCTGCTATCAACCAAAGGCATCATTTTACTTCGATAAAAATTGAAAAGAACGAGAAAATTACCTATGATAAACTGTCATTTCAGAAATGATGAATTGCATATAAAAATACTTCTTATTTACCAGAAAATCTAGACATAAAAACATGAAGACAAGCACTCAATAGTTGGCACTACTGAATTGTTGAGTTACTGAAACCCTGAGAATTTTCAGAGAATCTTATCAATTATAGTTACTGAAATCTAATACTGGCAATGTCTGCTTACATCACAGTTGATTGGAAATAAAATAATTGATTCTAACATAGCTGCTGTTCGAAGTTAAGAAAATACTTTTTTACTTAAAAATCAAAACTTCAAATAGTAAGTTCTATGCAATATCATTCTGAGTAGGTTTGATGGGTTGAGTGTTAAGTATTTTGTTTAACCCTTTCACTGCTCGAAGCGCTCCAAGCGCGCTAACATGCCAGTCATTTTTAAAACGGTTCAAACTGCCCAAGACGAGTAACGTGCGTAAACAAACTTCTAGCGTCTACTTAATTGGTTAAAAAGTTGTGATGGACCCCACCAAAAAACACTGTATTACTCCAATAATGAGATGGGGCCATCCACCACCCCTCTGAAGTACTTTTGTGTCTAGTTTGCTCTAGTTTACATTTACATTGCAACAGGTGTTATTGTTACGTGTTTTTATAATAAATATCGAAAACTTACAATGAAGCCAAGATATTATACAAACAGATACAGAAGAGATTTTTAGCAAGAAGTGACAGTGAGGATGAATTTATGTTTCAATTTGACAATGGATGGGAATCGGAGGAAAATTTTTAAAATCCTAGAAATAATGATAATTTGAATGATATTGTAGATTTCATTTCCAAAACTGCCAATCCTTTGGCAGGTATAGACAAGCCCAAACCTATCGATTTTGATATTTTACCGTCGGAAGACGATCTAAGTGATATAGATAAAATTCCAGAAGAAAAACTTACAATTTGATAATATAGAAAACCGAGTACAAAGACAATTTGGATAAAGTCTGATGAATGAATACTGATATGCCATCATATATCAATTTTAACTACCTACTTGTTAAAAAAATTATAAACTTTTTGTTAAACGAGCAAATGTAGCACACAACCATTAATGTAATTTTTTTTAATATGACTTCCCAGATTAAATATTCCTTTGCAAGAGAATGTAACACTTTTACGGATAATCATGAAAATAATCTCTTTCACAGCTCACATAGCTCGAGATAATGTTACTATATTAACGTTACCCCTCCTCTGTAGCCACAGACTATAATCCTTCGATATAAATATTTCCACTCATGAAGTTCACTATATTTCTGCCATGGACAGCTCCCTCAACACCCAGGCAATCCAAAAGGCACACTGTGTTGGAATACAATACCATTATTGTTCGATACCATAATGTCTGGCGTCAAGGAAAGTGAAATTTTTCCATTTTCCAGAATTGTGTTCGAATGTGACTCCATCTCTGCTGTAACAGATCGACACGACAATAAACAAGTGCTAGTAAATTCAAATTGAAATCATAGCAACTTATTTCTAAATTAAATCAACTTTATACATTAACAAGTGCTCTAGTTTCTTACATGCAATTTATTGGCGTAAAAAAAATATATCTCTACACTAAATAAAGTGGCATTTCACAAAACAGTTGCAATTTTTCAGTCTATCCGAACANTAGCTAAGTTTTTTTTGCAAATATTGCCTAATGTTGCCTAATTAGTGACCTAATATGTTAGAGATATTAAGGCATTAAGGCAGATTAAACGTTTTAACTAATTATTTTGTGGAAAACAACCACTCCACGTGCTATTTGCCCCTATTAACATTGAATTGCACTCCCAATATCCAGTAAATAGCTAAATGTATTCATCAATAGAGTCACCAGCCACCTCACTGGTTCTGAACCTTAGACGAGAATTAATAAGTTCGAAACTTGTCTGATAACTATCCTGTTGAATGATTTAGCTATTTACTAAATCTTAGGGGTATAATTCAATGCTAGTCAGAGCATATATGCCTACGGATTATAGTCCGTGGAGTAGTGGTTTCTCACAATATTATTACTTATATCTATATATCTAGAAACCCCTGTGTAGAAAATTTTCAAATTTCAATCACCTTCCTCATATCATGTACTTTTAACAAATGGTCGTCATAATACATCCTTCATACACCCGTCTCAAAAAGATTGGGACACTACAATGTTTACTTTTAAATAGAAATGTCAAAATTTTCGTTAATTTATTCATGGCTACTAGGATCGAATTAAATAAATCATAAAATTGACCTTTTTTGATCCCTTAATAAAATTCCTTTACCCAAGTACCTACTATATGTACATCGTTGAATTTGAAATTTAATGATTTATCTAATGATGTAAAAATCCAATATGGCGTCCATAAAAAAATCAAAAGTTGATTATGAAAACAAAAGGATTTAGGAGTCCTGGAAGATGTTTTAACTGATAGACCATTTTAGGTGCTAATTTTAGGTGTAGGGGAACTTGGGGGATTGCCGCGCAGTGTCCTTTCTCAAAAGCTATTAATTAATCTCAAATTTAAGCATGCAACGCCCTCTCGTAGGCCCTGTGAACATTTTCCCGAATTTATATTCCAACAGTACCGTTACTTCAGATTAGAGCTGGGTCGCTCGTTCATTTTGGATGTGTTGGCACGTGCGGCACAACTCATTTAAGTGTGCCGTTCAATGCGAGTCGTTCATTTGAACGACACGTGCAAGATGTTGAATGTTGACTATGCTGAAATTGCTCAAGTAAACACTCGTTTCTTGCTCACTCCTGCTCTTTCGAGTTGTGGCTGTGCCTAATGTGCACAACTGTGGGAGGTGGCACTTATTCAGAAAATGTTTTGACAAGTAACAAAATCGTGTTTATTACAAATGACCTTATTCTTTACACTGATTCTGGAGTGGAACAATCGAGTATTGCGTGCTCGGCTTGTTCAATGTTCAGTGCTCGCTCAATGCCGGTATGAACGATTAGATCATTCGTTGCGAGTCGTTCGTTCACGGCACGGCACAAGATTATGTGCCGGCACATTCGTGGGCAGTGTTACCAGATCTACCGCTAAAGCGGTAGATCTACCGTTTCAATGTGTCATCTACCGTTCTCCAGTTTTTACCCCTTAATATACCGCTTTTTAAATTCTCCGGAACTCGCCGCCTCGCTCCATCTTTTGGCACATAGCGATAGTTGTATAATAGTATTATTCTGATGGGCGTACCCAGTGGCGCATGAATCTATGCTCTATTCTGTAGTATAGTCATAGGTCATAGTCACGCGTCCGTCTTTTATATATTCTGTGGTGTGGTACTGTACTGTGACAGCACAAAACAGATCAAATGTGACAGTGTAAGTACACAGTGTACAGCAAGGAATCAGAATAAAAACTACGAACATAATTAAAAATGTAATGGGAGTCTACTCATCTCGGGAATTAATAGAACTGCTAAAAAATAATAAATTTAGCCTAATTATTGACGAGACGACCGATAGAGCCACAATGAAGCACATGTGCTTGGTAGCAGGGTTATGTTTAATAATAATATTTCAGATTGCTTTTTAACGCTTCTTCCCGTAGAAAGCGCCCAAGCGCAAGTATTATTTCAACAAATAGTGACATTTTTTGACAAAAACAAAATCCCATACAAATCGAATCTAATTGGTTTTGCTGCGGATGGCGCTTCAAATATGATGGGGAGACATAACTCAGTGGCTTCTAGATTTTTAGAAGCTATTCCAAGTATTTTTATATTGAAATGCATTTGTCATAGTTTTGCGCTGTGTGCATCATATGCGTGTAATAAGCTTCCTAATTTTGTGGAAATGTTTACTAGAGACGTTCATAACTATTTTAGTAATAGTCCCAAAAGAATTTCACAATTTAAAGCATTTCAAGATTTTTGTAACATCAAGGCACATAAAATATTACACCCGTGCCAAACTCGATGGTTGTCAGTACTCAGTGTGGTTAAAAGGATATTGGAGCAATACAACGCTCTTGTCCTTTTCTTTACAGATGTGTGTTTTAATAACGGAGATGACAATCAAGCTAATAGTATTCTACAGTCGCTAAATAATCCAATTTGTAAATTATATTTGCAGTTCTTGGAGTATATTTTGCCATTATTTGTTAGATTAAATATACAAATGCAGTCGGAAACTTCACAAATTAGCAAAATCTACACATCGGTTACAACAGTTGTTAAGACCATTTTGGATTGTTTCATAAAACCAGATATTTTAAAAAACAATTTAGTTTGCGACGTTGACTTCAGAAATCCAAGAAATATGCTACCTCTAAATGAAATGTACTTTGGTGTTGCAATTGCTGCAAGTACCTTAGAAGAAACTGAATTACAAGCTTTAAAAACAAATTGTCTCTCCTTTTACATTGAAGGAGTTAGTCAAATTTTCCAACGGTTTCCTTTAAAAAGTAACCCTCTGCAGGGCTTATCTTTCTTAAATCCACAATTTGTAAGAGAAAAAACAGTTAATAGTATTGCAGCAATTGCAAACAAGTGGCCTAATTTAGTGGAGAACAATAAAGTACAAATTTTAGATAACGAATGGCGAGTTTTAAAAAATTACGATTCGTTCCCCAATACAGATAATATATTTGAATTTTGGTCCAAGATTGCTAACGTAAAGTATGGAGATAACACACATATGTTCCCTAATTTATCTACATTTATATTCAATATATTAGTTTTACCCCACTCGAGTGCAAATGTAGAGAGGGTTTTCTCAACAATAAATTTATTAAAAAATAAACAACGAAATCAATTAAGTACTGACACAATCATTGGATTATTGCATAGTAAGCGACTGGTAACTAAATCATGTTTCAACTTTCAAGGAAACAATGATTTACGTCGTTTAATGACTAAGGATATTTATAAAGAATCTTAGGGCCGGTTTTTCCAACTGCCAAAAAACTTTTATTTGTCAAATAAAACTCGTATTTTGACAGTATGATTTTTGTGAGACAAATATAGATTTAATAGGCAAATAAAGTTAGGAGACGGAAAAACCGCCCCTTAATATACATTTTAGTAAATTTATTGTTTTTTACATTACCTGTTTAGATTTATTGTAATANTATCTCTACACTAAATAAAGTGGCATTTCACAAAACAGTTGCAATTTTTCAGTCTATCCGAACAAAAAAAAATGTAACAAAAAAAACAAGGTTGTCCAAGGTATTTTTAACCTCCACGTAAGTTTCACTGGAAAATTTTAAGTGACTGTTATCGTTAAAAAAATTAAAAATAGCACTTTAAAGACGTGTAACTTTTTAAGGAAGCAAAAGGGTGCAGACATAATTTGATCCAATTCCGTTTTTTTTTCATTCTCGAAAAATTATTCTTGAAGTATGATATATTCCTTTCCCTGTATAGGTATACATACAATATTCGGGATTAATAAAAATAAATTTTCATATTCCAGTTTATAAAAATATAAAACAAAACGATAAAATTGAACTTACCACATCACTATTACACCATCTCTATTTATTTTTTATTTATGAAAAGGATGGATGAGTATGACGAAGGGCATGGAATGACAAGTGGTAGATGATCCCATCGATTTTGACACTGAATTACTGAAGATGATGAAGAAGAATTGAGCGTATTCGATTTGTAATAATTAATAGATTTGGAATGATCCTAACAAATTTTAAATCAGTTTCATGCTTCCCTCCCCTCATCATTTAACGACTTTTAATCTTAGAGCAGCAGATCCAGATTACTGAAGGCAGCGTCCCAGTGGCCGAGACTGTAGCGGAAGTTGTAGAAAGAGAGAGGTAAATGAGGGTATATGCTATCTCTCTCCAGCAGCACTCTATTGGTTCTGCCGTGAAAAACTGCTTCTCATTGACAAAGGGGAGGACAGCAGCCAATCGCGTGCTACTAGAAAGAGATAGCAAATACCCACCTATTCCCCTCTCTCTCTACAACCTCCGTTACACTCTCGGCACAGCATATCCTAACCTAAACTAGTTAAACTACGGATATTCTATGCTATCGGCCACTGGAACGCTGCCTAAAGCTGCTCTAAGCTTTCAACTTTCAACGATGTTTTGTTTTGTAATTAGGTTACGCCATTATTCCATGGCTAGAAATTGGTCTCAATGATTTGGGATCGAGGGGGATTATCCCTCTTTATCCTGCCTCATCTCGTGTAGGCCTGGACAGCCTTCGTAGGTGGGCCCCATCCGTCGTCTACCCCGACCGCAAATGCGGCCGGTGTAGGCGCTTTGTGGGACCTCCTTTTGTCCTGGCTGGGCCCCGCCGGCTAGGGCCCTTTCTTCTGGCGCTCTTCTTGCTTCGCCGGCTCGTCTGTGTAAACCCCGGGGGTAGTGTCATGTTTATGTGTGGTATGGTTGGGTAGGGTAGTGCGGCTATGCAGCCTGGGATGCGCTTTGCTAAGGTGGCCCTTAGGCTAGCGCG